CTTAGCTGTTCATTAATGAGTCATTTAGCTGTTCCGATAATAAGTTATTTAGCAGCTGCAAAACGGGGGAATATAGCAGCTGCAAAATTAGTCATTTAGCAGCTTCTAAAATGAGTCTTTTGCAGCCGCAAAATGAGTCATTCAGCAGCTACAAAAATAAGTCATTTAGCAGCTGCAAAAATGAGCTATATAAACGAGACATTTAGCTGCTATATAAGTGAGTCATTTAGCTGCTATATAAGTGAGTCATTTTGCTGCTATATAAGTGAGACATTTAGCTGCTATATAAGTGAGTCATTTAGCTGTTCCATAAATGAGTCATTTAGCTGTTTCATAAATGAGTCATTTAGCTGTTTCATAAATGAGTCATTTAGCTGTTTCATAAATGAGTCATTTAGCTGTTCCATAAATGAGTCATTCAGCTGTTCCATAAATGAGTCATTTAGCAGCTGCAAAAATGAGTCATTTAGCAGCTGCAAAAAGGAGTCATATAGCAGCTGCAAAAAGGAGTCATATAGCAGCTGCAAAATGAGTCATTTAGCTGTTCCATAAATGAGTCAGTTAGCTGTTCCATTAATGAGTCAGTTAGCTGTTCCATTAATGAGTCATTTAGCAGCTGCAAAAAATGAGTCATATAGCAGCTGCAAAAATGAGTCATATAGCTGTTCCATAAATAAGTCATTTAGCTGTTCCATAAATGAGTCATGTAGCTTCTATATAAATGAGTCATTAAGCTTCTATAAAAAAGAGTCATAAATGAGTCATTTAGCTGTTCCATAAATGAGTCATTTAGCTGTTCCATTAATAAGTTATTTAGCAGCTGCAAAACGGGGGAATATAGCAGCTGCAAAATGAGTCATTTACCAGCTTCTAAAATGAGTCTTTTGCAGCCGCAAAATGAGTCATTCAGCAGCTACAAAAATAAGTCATTTAGCAGCTGCAAAAATGAGCTATATAAACGAGACATTTAGCTGCTATATAAGTGAGTCATTTAGCTGCTATATAAGTGAGTCATTTTGCTGCTATATAAGTGAGTCATTTAGCTGTTCCATAA